GCAGAAGTCGCATTCAACCGCAATGGCGTTATGAAAAACGCAAGCTGAAGATAAACAAAAAGATGCAAGCGATGAAACAAATATTATGAAAATCGACGTGTTACAAGAAAATATGGAACTCGATGTAAATAATGTTGTCAGTGAGCACGAGTAACGCGAACTAATTATGAAATACAAGCTGGATAAGCCGTAAACAACAAACATTGAAATGAAAATTGTTCTTAAAGAAGATACTCCTATTTTTTCACGTCCCCGCAGATTTTCATTTTCAGAGACACGCATTATAGACGAACAAGTAGACGAATGTTTGCGAAATGGCGTAATTAAAGAGTGCGATTCAGACTTTACGAGTCCTGTTGTACTTGTAAAGAGGAGTGATGGTACACCGCGTCTTTGTATTGATTATAGACGCATTAACGAGGTAATGTGTAAAGATCATTTTCCACTACCACTAATATATTAATACCAGCTAGACCGCTTGCACGAAGCGATGATAGTACGATTGATTTGAAAAATGGATTTTTCCATGTACCAGTTTCCGAGTCCAGCAAAAAGTACACGTCATTTGTGACGCAGAGTGGGCAATACCAGTTTTGTAAGGTGCCGTTTGGTATGACGAATTCACCCTTCTTTTTGCTATGAGTTACTAAGAAGGAGTGAAATTTATTTTGGATATTATTATAAGTATTAATGATTTTATGTTTTATGTTTTTGGACTTTTTATACACTACTAGCAGGTATTGCCCGTCTTAACCCGGCTCAATATGTTTCCAATTGTATTTATTTTGTGTGTGCATAAACTACTCATATGTTTTCACCTTAAAGGTTACCAGTACGAAGGCATTTAAGGTATTTAAATGAACATTTTCTGTTCTTGACAAAAAATTGTTCAGTAGTCCGTTACATTTTTGTTCTTGACAAACTATTTCGTTAAACGAACATGACCACTATAACTAATATTTTTTAAAGCTCGTTTTCCCCCCGTTGGAGCTAGAATTTTCCAAAAGCCTTTCTTAGTGTGCTCCTACACTATGATGGATACTATGAAACGATACTTGAGTCCAAATTTAAATTCACATTTGAGTCTTTTCGTGCCATATTGAGTCAATACGGCCACGCACAAACTCGGAATATGAAACACGGCACTCGTGTCAATGCCGTGCAGCGATGAGCCACGATCAAAAAGCACTGACACTTCTCATCTCAATTTGCTAGAGTTAAACTTTCGAAAGTTGAAGCCACCGATACCATCAAAATATCGAAGTTTGAATGCAATAAGCAGAATATTTAAATAATGAAATCGAATTATTTATTGAGGTCAATAAAACAAATCATATACATACATACATACATACATCTGCCCGCAATGCGAAGCAGAATATGCGTAGGTCCGTTATTCGGTTTCTGCTTTACTATCGCTTACGCAGTCGTTGCCTAGCGACGGTAACTGTAACATTTTGGCGTTTTGCCTTTGCAATTAACATTAAATGGTCAAAACGAAAGAAGAATTGCGAGCTAATGACTTGCAGTTGTTGTTGTTTTTAGAGCATTATTTTTTTTTACAATCAAACAACTGTGTTAGATTGCCCAATGTATACATTAATACGAATGTACATACATGCTATATTCATACACAGGCATACATACATATGTACATACATATGTTTCTCTTTACTTTTTCAACCGTACGTAGAGAACCGCACACATAGGCACGAACTGTTGCTTGTTGTGTGTGAGTGTGTGTATGTGATGTCCCCAACTATTTGATATTTGTTGTTGCTGCATAAAGTTATTAATGAAAACACTAATGCCAAATGCACTAAACAAAGAAAAAATTACTTTTAAAAATGTTATTTTATATAATTTTCAATTAATTAATATTTCTTGCTCTGTCAGTGCAAGACGAATGTACATACATATGTAGATACATATGTACATAGATGTGCACATATGTACATATGTATCTATGGACATTCACACATTAGTGTCTCACATTTTGCTTTGGCTATTTCAATCGTTTGCACGCAACTACACGAACAGCTGTTTGTATGTGTGTGTATGTATACTTAGTTGTCCCCAACTGTTTGATATTTTGTATTGTTTGTTCTGCCTGCTTTTGTAAAATGCATATTTTGAAAATCCTTGAATGCAAAGTTGTAGATTTAGTTACGTCGATTACATTATCCAAACTTTAAATCGATCGGACTAAATTTATAACACAAACTTTTCATTTGAAATAGTGAATAAATAATTCAAGCTCCAACAAAAAATTTAAAAAACCGAGTATGCAGTTTTGTTTGTATTCTTTAATTGATTTTAGAAACTAAGTTTTAAGTCGATCGGTTGAAAAATGCGGATTTTTTCAACAAACTTTGGAGATACTTTTCCCCCCTTTGGAGCTCGAATTATCCAAAATCCCTTCTTAGTGCTCATCTACACCATGATTGGATACTTGAGCCCAAATTTCAGTATCCTAGCTTTTACCGTGTGGGCTGTGGGCTGTTGACGCGGTTTGCTTTTGTGCCCCAACATTTTTTTTACAGGAAAACCATATTTTAGGCCCCAAAAAAATATCAAAAAACCAAGTATACAGTTTTTCTTGGAATTGTTCTGAGAGTATACAAACTAAGTTTAAAGTTAATCAGATGAAAACTGTAGATTTTTCATACAAACGTTGGAGCCTGTTTTCCCCCCTTTGGAGCTCGAGTTTTCCAAAATCCCTTCTTAGTGGGGACCTAGACTATGAAAGGATACTTGAGTCCAAATTTCAGCTTCCTAGCCTTTACCGTTTGGGCTGTGCGTTGATCACTAATCAGTCAGTCAGTCAGTCAGTCAGGACAAACTGTTTTATATATATAGATACCCAAAGGGTGAAAGGGTATACTAGTTTTGTGCGAATGTATTTAACACACAGATGGAGGTGTGACAGACCCCACAAAGTATATATATCATTGATAAGGATGACAAGTCGAGTCGATATAGCCATGTCCAGCTGTCTGTCCGTCAGTCTGTATGAACACAAGGATCTTAGCAAGTACAAGACTGTTCAGGCATGAACATACGGCATCGTTGAAATGTTCCACGACTGCCAACGGACATTTCGTTGCTGCCTGAGTTATGTAAACGCGTTCCCATGCCTGCACACAAATTGCGGTTCAAGTGTGAAGTGACAAGGATCGCGCAGCTGCATCATTTAGAATTACACTTATAGATTAAGGTTTACACAGCTGCTTACAACACTGTGTTAGTGTAAAATAGGCTAACCAATAGAATTACACGGTCCTCATGCGACGCCCTACAAATGCAGCATGTGGACCATCCTTATTATAGATATTGTCCAATAGAAACCAAGTTCCACACGCTGCTGCCCTACAACACAGCGTGAGTTTTGAATAAAAGGACAGATCGTGCGTTAGCACGAGTAGTACGAATTAAAGAACCGACGCGTATTCATTTCAAGGTGTAAAAGTATGTACATATTTTGGTCCTTCGAGCCGGACCATCAAGTAATCAGTGCTTTATAAGTGATTAAAGATTTAACTGATTCTTATAGGTGTGGCTTTAACAACAGAAAGTAGTGATAAGTGATTTGGGGTGCTTCATTAGCGAAAGAAAATTTGTTAAATAAAGAGTTTAAGTGTGAATTGGTAGAATCAGCTGTGAGTCGATTCACAGCATGGTCAACCAGGCGACTAAACTAAATTTCCCCTAAAGATTATACCAATTGTTACACCAAAACCTTTAAAAACAAACAATAATTGCAATGCTGTCTAGGATTTAGTCGAAAACGACGAAGTTCGTTTCAAACAACTCAGTCCTCATCAAAGGTGGACTGATCGACCACTAGTATTTCAACGAGAGGATTTTCGACACCACCATGGCTCGCATCAAAGAATATAGGGAGTCATTGATGAAGGTCGAAGAGATGAGTCAGCCCAAAACCTCTGTCAGAGAAATTTCAACCGCTTCAGAAGTACGCAAGGTGGAGCCTGAAATTGCACGCGCTTCAATTGTTCCTGTAGTGGAGGTTGATTGCGAAACTCGGAATTCAAGTCCAGTTGATCAACTGGTTGAGATGGTAGACAAACGGGCAGATCGCTTCAGGCAATACTTTACACAGGTGCACCAATGCCTAATGGGTAATGTTGGATATTAAGATTTGTTTGCCGTTTTTAAATAAAACCAACACAGCCCCACTAAGAAAAGTTAAGAAGTAAGAAATACATAGTGAAAATTTTAACGTGTGAGAAAAATATCTATAGTATGGAAAAATTAGGTAATTTAGAATTTAATTGTAGATAAATTGAATTATATAAATCAAAAATTGCAGTGAATTTTTTATAAAATAATCGCTGCAGCAGGTAAAAAAGGGGAAATAAGAGCTCTAACTTACAACGGTGAGAAGAGAACGACAATACATTAACGAGGGAGACAGAAGCAGAACACCCAGAGAGAATCAGCTGAGAGCAAACGTATAAGAGTTTCTAAGCGTATGAATAAGTGAATGACCTACACGTGTGTGTGAAGGGAGCTTTTTTTTTTGCGTGTAGATCAGCATTGTGCTGTTTGGGCAGGTCAGTATGCGCTGTGTATGCGCTGTGGGTACGCGGTGTGTGTATGCATAGCGCATGTACAAAAATTTGTTAAGCACAGTGTTGCCGTGCAGCATGACTACTACTATGAACAGCATACTTTGTGTAGTAGCTGTTTTAGTTATAGTAGTAGCACGTAATATTGGTAGAAGACAAAATAAATGAATTAATATGATTTTTTATTAAATAGGAATTACTATGAAAATTAAATAATGAATTTATGTGTAAATAGAAATTTTTTTTTTTTTTAATGAAATATGAATATGAAAAAGTTTGTATACAAAGTAAAAATAAAAATTGTCTACCAAATTATGATAATATATATCGATTTAGTGTATTAAAAAACGTTTGGTGGAGGGACTCTGTTTGGAAGGTCTTTAGGGCGATACAGAATTGGTGGAGTACCGCCTATAAAAAGTGATCCTCCTGCACGAAGTAATCCTCGTACCAGGAAATTTTCATGAGATCGGAGTCTATCATTGTATCTAGAAGCATGAATGTTAATTTGATCCCAAACAGAGGCGATATTGAAAGCGTAGTGAATATCTGCGTTTCTTACGAACGGAGTGGCGTTCGTACAAAGACGTAGGGTCTTATTTTGTATAATTTGAATTATACGAATGTGTACGTCGGCGGCACAGCCCCAGAGTTCAATGCCGTATTTGAAAGATGGTGCAATAATTTGAATTTAGATGAGTAATTTGTTGCGAACACTGAGACGGGAGCGTGAGTTTAACAGCCAGTTGTACTTGCGTACTTTAGATATAAGCGAAGCCTTAATAGAATTAACATGGCTACTCCAGAGTAATTTTTTATCAATGTTTATACCTAAGTATTTAACTATTTATTTTGAGGGTATAACCACATTATCCAATCTGACATCAGACATTCTGCAGTTACACCTGGTAAAAGTCATGTGGGAAGATTTTCTACCATTTACTTTGATATTCCATGATCTTGCCCTAGTTGAAAATCTGATTAAATATCTATTCATCTGATCGATACACACAGAAGCGTATATATCGCTGAGTAAAATTGCAGTATCGTCTGCATATGTCGCAATAAGCGACCTGCTACGGGTAAATTTAGGCGATTTCGGGGTTGGCATGTCGCTTACAAAGATATTGTATAGCGTTGGCGCTAAAATGCTTCCCTGCGGAACACCAGCTCGAATTTGTCGCACAGATGAAAGAGTACCTCTCTCCTTTACGCAAAAGGAGCGATTTGTGAGGTAAGAGACAAAAAGCTCATATAAAGATTGAGGCAATATAGATTTAAGTTTGAATAGTAGACCGTTGTGCCACACATGATCAAACGCCTGTTCGATATCTAAGAAAACAGCTGAGGTGAATTGGTCGTAATCAAATGTAGTCTGGACATGGTTAATAATCCGATGAACTTGCTGAATAGTGCTATGGTCCTTACGGAAACCAAACTGATGATCAAGAATATTCTGTAAGCGGACGGAAATGACAATTTCAAATAACTTGGATAAGGCGGATAATAAACTAATTGGTCTGTAATCTTTTACCTGGCTGAGTGATCGGCCAGATTTTGGAATCATGCTTACTGCTGCGCATTTCCAGCTTTTCGGGAAATACCGCAACCGCAACATGATGTTAAAAATTTTTACTAAAAACATAATGGCCCTTTCAGGCAAGCAGCGCAAAATAAAGTTTGTAATATTATCAAGACCAGGGGCTTTTTTGATTTTCAAACTGGCAATATGGCTTTTAATCTCGGACGGACTAACATGTCGAATGGGAGTGGGTGGGTCAGTTTCAGTAACGTTGTCAGTAAGTGCATCGGATACTCGTTGAATATGGGTAGCAGAGGCGAAATCTAGAGGCGTAAAACGCGATTCTAGTTCGTTTGCAAACGTTTCAGCAACTTCTAATGGTGTAATACACCAATTTCCTTGCTCGTTTTTGATAGGAGCAACCATATGAGGCTGAGTTCTAATGAGCTTAGTGGCACAAAACAGATTAAAGCCGCCTTTTTTAGACGGGTCGGCATTTTGTAAAATAAAATTAAAATGCGCAGAACGAGTACGTCTAAGAAAATTTGTAAGAGTGCGTGAAACGTAAAGCCAATCAGCTTTATGAATGGGAGAACGAGTTCTAATACTTGTATATAATTTCCTAAGCTGCCGTTTAACGCGGGCCAACTCAAGGGCTTCGGCTTTTAAAGGCGGCCGATAGAATGAGCGGTGGGCGGAATACGGACTATTGGTCGGTGTGGCTGCGATAGCGCAGGATCGAATTTTTGTTGTAAAGATATCTATTGCGTTGTCTATGTCGTCAATAGTATTTACATCCATATTTAAATGGGTACAATTATTAAGAAGAATTTTAAATTGTGAAATATTGGTATTTTTGGTAAATAACTTGGAGCTTACAGCCGAAGGAAGACTCGAAGGAAGAGAGATATCAGACAGACCACATTTAAGAGAAATAACAAGTGGAAGGTGGTCACTTGTTAAATCAAAATTTCTGCCAATTTACCGTTAAAGAATATGGGATATTGCGGGTCACCGCAAAGTCCAAAACTGTCGACGTGAACGCACTACGAGGAAAATGGGTGGGTTCAGCTGTAGAGAGAATGTTAAGTCTGTCTGAGGACAGAATAACATCAGCCAAGGCTACACCACGTGGGCATCTTCTAAAACTTCCCCACAAGCGGTGCTTGGCGTTCCAATCACCGCCTATGAGAAATTTATCACCAAGCTGGCCAAATAGCGAAGTGTAAAAAGATTGTGACACCAACTGATTTGGTGGCCAATAACAGGCGGCAATGGTGACAAAACCAATATATGTATTTATCACCATACGGCAGGTGTGAGAATGCTCTACAGAAATTGGAGGTAGAGGCTGAAAAGGAATTTTGTTTGATACTTGTATAATGATTGCTGAACCGCCGGCAGCAGAGCGAGAGTTGGGATTATATGCGAAAAGAAAATTATAACCAGGAATAGAAATTTGAACATTAGGGGAGAGTTTGGTCTCCGAAATTAACATTATATCAATCGTATTATTAATGAGAAAAAGTTCTATGTCTCGAAGTTTGCGGCGAATGCCGTTGGCATTCCAAATTGACAATCTAATTTGTTCGTTCATTGGGATTATTTAAAGAAATAACGAGCTGCTCCGTCCTGGCAAAGGAGGCCGTTAATTGGGTTTGAAAAGAGGCAATTTGAAGTTGCATATTTTGAATGCTGTCCGAAACAAAGATTCTGAATTCTATATCAGGATGAAATTTGTAAGGCGTCATTTCGATTATAAATAGTAGGATTCTGTTGAGTATGAGCCGTTTTAGGCGGTGGAGGATTATCGGCAATTTTGCCCAATATTCTTGGGAACTTTTCCCCACGCCATTGATGTGGAATATCCGCAAGAATATATTTAGCGCTGAGGGAGCGAACTCTGTCAGCGTATGACTTAGGCTGTGCCCCAGTCTTTCTAGAATTTCCTTCTGTTGATGACGCATTTGTGGTCGGTTGATGAGGAGTAGCAGGAATGGGATTCTTTCTGACAAAATTTGTGAATTGAGTATTGAAAGACCCATCTGCAGCTTGTGGCTTTTGCCTTGCATTTGACGGATCAGTCAGAGAGGGAAAGTTAGCTTCATCGACAGGAATAGAAGCAATTTGCATTGCACGAGTTCGGGCGGGCCGGAAGCTGGTGAACTTTGTTGCGTCTGGCCTTGACAGCAGCAAGAATTGGGCAGCCAGAAAAATTGGCAGGGGTGTCAAAGTCCTTTGTACAGGTAGATGACCAATGGTCATTGCCACATTTCACACATCTGGGGCAGTGCCTACAAAATCTTGCAGTGTGTTGAAAACGCTGGCAGCGCTTACATTGCGGTATGTCGAGGTTTTTCATTGTTGCCTCGACACGAACAATGAAGTTACCAATGTTTTTAATTTGAAATATTCTCTCATTACTTGGCGTGTTAAGTAAATTAACAAAGAAAGCATTGGGAGAATATTTTGCTGCAGGATCAGACTTTCGTTTATCGATGAAGGTGGGATTGTGAACTCCCACAATGTCAAAGCCTTCGGCTTAAAGAACTTTTGATAAAGTCAGTAGGTGTAGCACGAGGCAGTCCTCTGACGTATACCCGAAGGAGCCTATGCTCTTTAGGCTGATGTGTATGGTAGCTAAAGTTATTTGTATCAAGAAAACGAATAATTGCCCTATAGTCTCCCGGGATTTTGGCATGTATCCAAATATTCCCTAAGGTACCCATTTTTACAAAGAATTGGGACGGTGGTACTACTTCGGACAGAGCGGCTAAAAAAGCAGTGGCATCCTTTCATTCTGCTTGGATGGGAGGGGGCTTTCCGGAGAAAATAATGGAAGAATTAAGCTTACCCTGATTCTCCAAGTCATCAGACTGCAGGGGAATGGGCTCGGCAACATCATTCTGACTGGCGTTATGCTGATTTGGCGGTGAAGCGGGAAGAGCACTCGCACCCACCATGTGAGACGAGTCGCTGTCTAAATCTTCCTCATTTGACTCCAGCTCAATAAGGTCTGATCTGGATTGATCCTGAACATCAGGCCTTAGGTTATCATGTTGAGCAGCCCTAGCCGAGGCCGAGGTGCGTCGCACAACAGCACTGGAGCGAATTGTCCTCGTTTTTGGCGAGGTGTGGGGTGCAGTAGCGCGCTTGTATAGCGACGCCGTATTGCTTCCCGAGTTTGCCGCCTCCGAAACTGTTGGGTTATATGGCTGTACTGGTGCATGAAAATCACCTGACCATCGTACAACCGTTGTTGAATTTATAACAGGGCGAAAGCCCGATTTGGGAGTGGAACTTGCAGGTTCATTTTTTCCAATATCCTCCTTAGGAGATGATGAATTTGGAGTGCCCTTTGCGGCACGTAAGAGCACGTTAGATGTAACCAGAGCGGGCCCCTTGGGGCTTCTCTTGGGCTTGGGAGTGGTTGAGTTTGATTTATCTTGATTCATGTTTAAAGAAAGAAAAGATAATGAATTTTAGTGTTTCAAGTCGAGTTATTCGTAAGGTAAAATAAATTCGACGCAGCCAGAAAAACCAGGCAGAAGAAAATCCACGTACGCAGGCAACCAATGCACAAAAATGGCCAAATGCAAATAATTTTTATTCAAAAAAACTGTGAAAAAATAAAAATGAATAAGATAAATCAAAACAAATGAAGGTCAAGACAAGTAAAGGTCAGGACAAATAAAGGTTAGGACACATGAAGGTCAGAAGTCACGGATCCCTCCGCAATTTATTTTATGTGGCGTGTATCTTTTTGGGGGGTTTACTACCACAACACTCAAGTCAGACAAGTGTGCATACACACAAGTGTGTATGTACACAAGACCGTCTATAGTGCACGGGTTTTAGAACAATGCGCCAAACCAGTCGCCCCAGCTAACAACCACCAGCAAATACAGTGGGAGCTTCGCCAGTACCAATTCGGGATGTATGCTTGTCGGGCATACATCCCCCTCTTGGATGGGAGGCGAAGTGCATCTAAACACCTCTGCTGCTCTCAGGGTCGCAGCGCCCGGTTGGAAAACGCAACTCCACGCCGGATAAAGGCCGAAGCCAATACCCTACCCGCGATTTGGGTGACAACCACAGCCACTACGATGCTGCCACAAGGGCGCCAACCTCAATCCAGTACTCTGAGTACTGGAACCCGTAGTACCGAAACTTGAACCCATACCGAGACGGTAAGGGAAGGACTCTATATTTCACACCTGGTGTATCAGCCGACGTCGTCGAAGTGCAGCGTGGGCGAATTCGTCTAGGTGTCTCATCCGGTCGGTGGTTTCCGTTATGCGAGACACGTTCCATTCGTCTTCAATTGTCAGCCCAAGTACATCCAAGTTCCGCAGGTCACTGTATATTGGGCAGGCACACAGGACATGTAACCAGTCCTCGCGTTCTGCGCCGCATACACACGCGGCTGTTTCTACTATATTTCTTTCTCGCAGGAACGCATTTAGGGATCCGTGTCCGGTCAGCAGGAAGCCGGCATGCAGGCTGAAGCCGAAATCTTTCCGGTTGTGGACGAAACTTGCATCTGGGAAGAATTGCCGAGTCACATGGCCATGTGCACCGCCATCCCATCGGAGTTGCCACTCGTGTAGCAACTTTTCGTCCAGTAGTGCCATTTTCTCTTTCCAGTTGAGGCTTCCAATATTTTGTCCGAAGAGCCAGTCGTTGTTTTCTAGTGGGTGGTTCCGTCTCAGCTTGAACTTGACAGCCATTTTCATGGCAACCAGGTCCAGTGGTGGGGTCCCCCCCAGCACCTGCAGCGCCAAAGTCGACACTGTACGGCACACTGGGAGGCAGCCGAGAAGCATTGATCTTTGACATCTCAAGATATGAGTCTTGCCTTCGACTTGCCTGGCAGCCGTTTTGTACCAGACTGCTGCACCGAACATTGCACAGGGTACCAATAGTCCATCGTAGATGGTGCGTCTCGCCCGAGGTTTTAGTCCCCAGTCGACCCGTAGCACGCGTGCTAGTGCTTCAAAGACGAGAGATGCAGGGCGAAACTCATTCTTTCGCTAACTGTGATGCCTAGGTAACGGTAACTAGTAACGTATTTCAGTCTAGTTCCAGAAAAACGTACAATCGGCCTCCTCGACGCGAGCTTGCCCTTCAGGAGCATGCAAGCCGTTTTGCTGGTGGATACTGCGACGCCCGTTTCGGTTCCCCACTCGCCTACGATTGACATTAGCAGCTGTCCATTTTGTTCCAGATCAGCTCGGGAATTTGCCTCAACGAGCAGTAGTAAGTCATCTGCATATGCGCTTAGAGCACAGTGTTGCTGGGAGTGGGAGCACTTCCTTCACACGATCGACCATTATCGCCTCTAGGACCTTGCCAAACACTGGTAGTAGGCAGATACCCCGGTAGGACGCAGGGTCACTCCTGTCCTTATCGGGGCCCTTCAGTAGAGCGACCACACGTGGCCTTTTCCATTCAGTGGGAAAGTAACCTTCAGCTATGCAGCGAGAGAACAACGCTCGTAGATGCTGCGGGATAGAGCGCCATAGTTCCTTGCATATTGCCCCTGTGATGCCGTACATGCCAGGAGAACGCCTGCTCCTAATCCTGGCGACAGAGGCACCAACTTCGTGTATCTGGAGAGCCGGCGGAGCTTCGATTGGGTGGGTGGTTGGTGCTGCCGTCTCCGTAATTGGGAAGAAGTTACGGAGAAGCACTCTCGCACAGTCATCCCAAGTCATGACTGGTCCTGCAGCAGTACGGAGGCTCCCAATCTCGCAGGTCCTTTTACGGCCACGGCAGATACGGTATACGCGTCCCCATGGGTCGTCACTGTGCGTTGATACGAAGGAGCGCCAGTTTTCGTTTTTCGCCGACAGGATCTGCTTCTTGTAGTCCGACACAGTGATCCTTAACTCGGTGGCGAGACGATCTGTATCTTCGTGGAGACCACGACGACGTGCATTTTGGAGTTGGCGCCTGAGTCTCCTGACCTCTTGGCGTATTGCGCTGAGGTTGGTATTCCACCAGGTTATTCCGCGGGTGGCTCTTGGATGCCTGACACCTAGTACTGACGTACATACGCCGTGCACGAGAGAGCGTAAAGCAGTCACCTGGTCGTCTATTGGTGCTGTGGTAGTTCCGCTGCCGCTCTACTGAGTTCCTCTCCAAAATATCGCCAGTTTACATTCTGAGTGTTCCAGGAGGGCACAGGAGCAATGCTCTCAACTGTGTTATCGGGATCGAGGGTGACCGTAACATGAATTATGTTGTGGTCGCTCGCTGCCCAGTCCTCTACTCTCCAGCTGTGTGATGCTCGTGTTAGCGCTGCTTCGTTGGCGATTGTGATGTCAATATCACTCCTTCCATAGCCAGTGTCGAAGGTGTATTCTTCACTGGGTTCGTTGAGCACGCCGGCTCTCTTGTTTGAGAGCCATATCGCCAGTGTTTCGCCCCGCCGGTAGTTTTGGTGGCGTCGTGAGTATGTGGTCATCTTGCTGTGCCACATGGGGGATACGGCATTGGCGTCGATGCCGCAGATACAGGGTATGCTACTGGCCCGCTGTAGTACCGTGTCCAGGTACTCTATGTATGGGGCTAAGTCTTGCTCGAACTGGCAGTATGCGGAGCATAGAATATATGTTCCGAAGCTTCCCGTGATGCTTATGCATACTCCGTATTCTGTGGTGAGCTCCTCTATCGGCATGCAGACGATGTCAGGATCGTCAACTACGATGGCGGCCTTGCTGCGCTTATCGGGGAACACTCGCATGTTTGCTGGGAATCCTGTGATGCGTCCTGTTTTGGTGGCGTATGGTTCTTGCAGCAGCGCAAACGAGTGACCAGAATTGCGCATGCGGACTCCAAGCGCAATGGCTTAGGCTACTCCGTGGCCGCAGTTTGTTTGGGTGAAGATAAACATTTTAGTGTCTAGCTTGCACCCTCGCTAACACTGCTGCATAAACTGGGCATGTTTCTGAAAGCATACGGTGCTTTGAAGGCAATCCCTTGGCGCGACAGTTCCGGCAGTCAATCGGTTTTTTACATTTGGATGCGAGATGTCCGCTCTCTCCGCATTGGCGGCATACGGCTTCCGTTTGGCGGCATTCCGACACCTTTTGGCCGAACCCGACGCACCTATGACATGCATAGGTACGTACCATCCTTCGGCATCTGAAAGCGTGGTACAGTATGTACACCTTTCCCATATTTTCCAGAATGGCAGCTGCTTTTTCGTCCACGTCGAGTGTGAGGTTTACGAACTCTCCATCGGTAGCTGACCAACTCTTGGTCTCCAGATGCACCATTTCCTTGTATGCTGCGGGTGATACATCGTTCTTGAAATTCAACGTATAGAGTTAGGATAGGATATTTAGGATAGGATATATTAGTCTCGACGTCGTGCACGATTATTTTTGGCCGGGGCCCCTTGTTGGGCTGAATGGCTAGTCCAGCTTCTTTGAACTTCTTGTTTTCCACTAGTGTCCACATCTCGGTTTCAGTCGGCGTACGCATTAGGGCACCACCTCGCTTAATTGGACACACCTTGTCCAGGCGTACTCCTAGTCCTGACGCTACTTCTTTTTTAATCTTCTCCGCCACTTGTTCACTTGATACACTTGGGTCCAAGCTCGTCACTACTGCCGAGTATGACATCGGTGGCTTCCGGACCCGTGGTGCGGCGGCAGGAGCTCTTTGGGCGACCGAGCTTGGTGCAGCAGGTGGTAGCGCTTTCGGAATAGTTTTTCCGTTTACTAGGACGGCGTTCCTCAACGTGAGCGTTACTACCAGTTCGTCATACTTTGCTACAGCGTCGAAGATTGGTATGGCGGCTTCGGGCTCCATGCGCGCCATGACGGACAGCTCCGCTATAATGGCGGAACTGCCACCAGCCACGATGCTCTCTGCAGAGCATCGTGGTACGGCGTGGACGGTAGTTTTTATTGCCGTAGAGGGGGGCGGCATGATGGCGGTGTCTAGGGTAGCAGCAATTCCAGCGGCGATAGTAGGGGCAATTTTTGCGGCAGCAGTAGTTCCCGCGACGACGGTAGCAGCAGGTACTGAGGCGACGGAGTGGGCAGTAACAGCTGCTTTTTCAGCTGTCTTTACGGCAGGTAGGGCGGCAACGGTAGCGGCAGAGGCATCTGAATTTGCAGCTGCAAGAACAGCTGCCTTTTCGGCAGGTACGGCGGCGATGGTGACAGCTGGTCCATCGGCGGTAGTAGAGGCATCGGTTTCGGCTGCTTTCGAGACGCGAGCCACAGCATCTGGTCCGGCGGACGCGGTGCTGGATTCTGAATCCCTGGCCATCAGAATCAGCTTCTTGATCCGCGCTTCATCCTCGGACGTGCTAAGCTGCTCACGCTTCTTCTTCTTACCTCTCTTTTTTCTACTGCGGAGCGAGTTGTCCGATTCCTTCGTAGATACGCTACTGTCAGCGTATTCTTGACTAATGGAGTCCATTCGACTCACTTCAGAGTCCGACATCACTTTTCCGCAAGTGTGCTTTTTGTACACACTTAATACTGTATACTTTTATTTTCACTTACACAATTTATGAACTCTCACTCTTATACACACTTGGCTTTTTTTTATGCTGATAATTGTCTCTAAGTCCTTTTCTTAGTAGCAGCAACACTTTACTATGTTATTATTATTTGGCACCGAGATCGGGCTTTTTTTTCCGCACTGAAAATTTTTCACTGACAAAAGGTTTTTTTTTACCTGCGCACACACAAACACATCCGCTCGCGACGACTGTCGAAAGCAAACTGACACATGAAGGTCAAACGGAAGTGTACCAGTCACGCACTCACACCCACGTAGCCCTACCAACACTAGCGAAATACCGCTGAAAAAGGGACACGTGGCCAACTTAAACGGCCAACAGCGTGGACAGGCAGCTGAAGCAGGTAACACCTGCAGCCGCCGCGACCAACCAGATAGACACGGTCCCCACAAAAACGATATGACACCAGGCGCGCAAGATCACTGGGAATGGAAAACGCGGCACTACACGACCGATGCAACAAAATAATTTCTGTGAAAGTTTAATTTGCTTTTTAATTTTTATGAACGCAGCTTTTTTTTTTTCATAAATATAATTTATTGTGGCGCACATAGCCGAGAAAAGGGTACAACAATGCTTATACTAAACTTAAAACTAATCCCAATTCCAGCCTGGGGGTGCAGAATAAGGAGGCAACGACAACAGTTCATGTCCATGTCATAATCCTTCCCTTGTGAATGTGTGGAGGGAATGCGGGGAGAAGCCGAAGCGCGTAAAAGAGGGACACCCTCCCTCAAAGGGGTACCAGGAGTAGATGTTATGTTGTGGCTGTTGTTCATTTTTGGTGTATTTTAAGGGCGAATTTTAATTCCAGACAACAACGGATACTCTTTTGTGATAACGCCAGAACAAATTGACCTTCTTCTACTGTTTTTGTTAAACGCTGAGTATGTTGTGCACCGATGCAATTGAATCTGCAATTGCTTGTTGCAGATTGGCAGCTATTACGTTTTGCGAATTGACTGATTGATTGTATCTTCTCTAGCATATGAAGTTGGCACATTAGTTGTAACGGAAAAATAGGAAATTTGTTCGTGTGTTGCAGGTGACGCGCAAGACGTAGCTTATGGCCACCAGTCTTGTTTCAAGCGTTACCTACAAAGACCTACTGTTTTTGTAATGCTAAATAGTAACTGGTTGTATCCGCGTACCATATTGGATACGATTCGTCTACCAATGTTACTAAACTAACACCATTAACACAAATTAAGAAAAACAAAAGATAAAACAAGTGACATTTGTAATTGCACTAACGCCGAACTTACAAGTAATTCCGATCATAACACCGAAGCAAAAACGCTAAGCTTGCTATGTTTCCAGATTTTTTGATGCGTTTTTATGGAAGCAAACACGGCAACTTGGCCTGTGTTGCACGGCACTAATGGGGCGACCCAATTAGCTCTTCCAGCGGCAATCAAATGCTCCTAACTGGTTTACCTACAAAGGATATCCATAGAATTTATACGTGAATTGTTATTTAAGTGCTTCTGTTTCGCGGCGTGCTGTAGCTCTTAGCCACAAAAACCCTCGTCCTGCTATACTCCACATGTTTCAAAGCAAAACTAGACTACACACACTAATGTGTATTCAGATTCCGGCACTACAACCAATCCGAAGCTCAGTAGTTTGTTCCAGCAAAATCTGCACATTATCCGATCTGTGTTTTGAATACTACTGAGACGAGCCATTAAAGTTAATTAGAAACTATTAACGTATCAATCGCCTCTGTATCAAATTTTGCACAAAGATGCGTTATATGTGTACGCTGTGCAAGTTTGTTTTATATTTTGATTTTCCCCCCTATGGGGGTTTTCCCGATTTTCCATTCGTATAATCGCCTATATCTCGGAGACTATAAGACCTAGGAACACCAAATTTTAGTCCAAGATGCCTTATGTGAATACGCAGAAAATGTATATTTTGGAATTTCCCTCCCTCCCCCCTCTCCACCGCAAATGCTAACTCCCGTAATTCTTGGAATTTCGAACTGAAATTTTGCTAATACCCCAGCTAGTAATTATGTGTCCGTATGCCAAGTTTCACTATGATAGACCGATTTACCAAGAAGTTATAGCCATAAATATATTTGCTGCTGCAGCGCTGCCCGCGGCTGTTGTTGATGTTGCTGTTTGGTTGACTGCGAAAATGCTTACACAGACACGAATTGATGCGCATAGGCATACATACACTCACACAGACGCAATTGCTATGTAAATGTGCAATTTACACCCTTTACGTGAGTTCGAATACCGAGAGAGGTAAAATCAATCTTTTAGCATAAGATATGCAGGTCAGAATTGCCACAATCGAACATCAAATTGACAATTTCAATACGGTAGTCGAATTAGGTCCTTACAGAATTTGCCTTTGCTGTAAAGGCCGTTGGTTTCTTCACCAAATCGATAGGGCACATATTGAGGAGATAAATGAGCTTGCAAATACTGATAGGTTTAGTCAGCTTTGCATATATATTTTTAGTCTGACAGGTATATTTATTTCTAATAACGAAAGGTTCATTTTTTGCAAAACATGCACTAGAAACATTAAACCTCGTAGGGTACCTAAGGCGGCTATCATAAATGGACTTGGTTTTCCCACATTTCCCGATTGCCTCAAAGAACTAACACCTTTGGAGGAATGATTAATATCTCCCCGCCTTCCCTTCATAGTCATAAAACCTATTGGATACGGTCGCGAAAGTGGTCTTAAAGGAGCTGTGCTTAATGTCCCAATTCCAGTTTCAAACGTGGTTACTTCTCTTCCACGAGCTTTTCATGAAGCAGAGGTTGTTCAGCTCCACCTCAAACGTAGAATGGAATACAGTCATAATTTTATAGCTGAAACCATTAGACCTTCTAAAATTGCCAGTGCAATTAGGTATCTGATTAATACAGAGCTGTATTGTAAGCATAACGTGACTTTTAATGAGCAGTGGATGATTTCTTCTACATCCGATGCTGTTCCGTTTATAGCGTCTCAAGCAGACAAAGTAGTTGTTGAGGAAGGTATACAAAATACTTCCGAACAGGCAAATTCAAACATAGACATAGAGCAGAGGGGCAAGAAACATTGTTAGACACCACGCATGCACAAAATATCCCTGTGCGTATCACAATTGCTCCTGGTGAAGGCCAAAGGCCCCTTGATATGGTTGCAGACTCCGATTCATATTTGCTGGCAACAAAAAAACAACTTCGCAAAGTTTTCCAACAGTTGTTAGATCTGAACTTAGAAATGTTGATAGGAGAGGTTGTAGAAGTGATAAGTTTTTCTACAATTACAAGAAGCTAGAGTTGATTCATATATGTAATAATACGTCTATTTGCTTACGTAAGCACCGCGCCCTCACGGCATTACAGCTGCTAACGCATCCAGTGAAGACCATATAGATCAACTAATAAATCACAATGAAGGTTATAGGGTATTAAAAGGCATTCGCACATCTCCTGCTCATTGGGAATCTGAGAAAAAGAAAGTCATGGCCATGATACGCCAGTTTGGGCTCACTAAATTTTTTTGGACCGTTGCACAGTGGGGCCTTAGGCCGAAACAGCTTGCGGAAATCAAAATTTTCATGAACGCTTTGGGAGTAATGAATAAACGTGTCTAATAGTTATTTTTCAAAGATTATGAAAATCTTACTCTCAAAAAAATCGGAATTATAGTTTAGGACATATGTGCACTCAAAGTCGACCCTTTTTTAAGCTCGCAACAATTAATTCAATTTGATGCAAATACTTCATCTTTCAGGTATAATATTAGCTAAGTTATGAAACGAATCATTGATGTTTTGATTTGTATTGCTAGATGAATTAATTTTATGCATTATTTAATAAAAACTATGTCTTTCGTATTTGTAGTTATCTAGAAAACGTTATTTTTTAAACTACCTATTTTTAGGGTGTTTTTCAACTTTGATGGAAAATAAAAAAAGTACCCAAAAGTACCTCGCCCATATTTTTAAAATATGTTCCTTAAATATTCGTTTACCTAACGCAATAAAACTTTCATCCGCCCGGATCCGCCGGTGTGCACCAGAGCAAAAAGAGTGCCGCAACTTCGGGAAAAAATCAGCGAAAAAGGCGCTGCCGCGGGTATAAGAAGAAGAATGCATTGCGGGTAGATTCGCTGTAACGGCTATTAGGAACATTGTAGTTAGCATTATGGATACAAAAATATACCTAAGCGGTCCTATTTGATCCACATTTAATATTGTGCAACCAAAATTATGCATAACATTTATTACAGGTAGTGTAATTTACAATATCAGGTGAAGGTCTTGCAATCTTTTTGACCTTTTCATGAATTGTAATTTCTTTGCTTTAAAGCATTTGAACAGGCAAAAAGAGGTTTTAGTTTATTATCTTAGGTATGCGTTTAGAAATGGTATATATTGCCAATATTTTTGGTGCAGCGTAATAGTCGAATTTTGACTTAAAAAGCAATCAGTTGTGTCTAACTAGCAGTGAATAGTATTTTTCAATATAATTTACGTTTAAATACCTTAAAGGTGATTTTTCTTTAACATGGCTGTGCAAAATGCAACATTATTTGATCTATTTAGGAATTCCAATGATCAGAAGGAATTTGAAGAAGCTGTTCTGAAAGAGCTGTATGATGCTCTGGAAAGTGCAGATCAGCAAAAAATGTTGAGAAATAAGTTTAAATTAATTTATTCTAAAATCAAACAGAAATGGATAAGCGTAGGATATAGCAAGCAGAAATTTGATTTAAAATATGAAATCTGGCTATTAACGACTACGTACTTGGATACATCAATGGACGATGTACTCTCTACATCAACTGGACGAGCCAGAGGAAGACCAACGAAATCCATTGAAGAATGCTCGGATTTTACAAGAAAAAGAAAGCTTGTCTATGTCACAGAAGCCATAGCTACGGATTACTTGTCGGAGGC